GTAAGTACCCAATCGATTTTTTTGCTGAATTTTGTTTCGAAAATGAAATCTCGTCCCCGGAGACATCCGTGTGGTAACGCATACTGAAGATTGCATGTACACTGTTGTTAAACCGGATCGGACGCAATCCGATCTAGTTTAATGCAAAACCCGGAAAAACACAAAACCGGGACTAATCCGGTTGAATCAATAAAAATTGGAACCGGTCATATTATAACGAACAAATAGATGAAAATTGCGGTCATATTATAACGAACAAATAGATGAAAATTGTTACTCTTCTCTATTGTTTTAACTTTTAAGTATCATTGATAAATATGAAATAAAATTATATGTTCAATTATTAATTACATGTGTTTTCATTTGTGTATATTTAAATATAATAATTTAACTGAATATTTATAAAGGATATTTTAATTAATTTGCAGGTTATATATGTAAAACCAGGATTCGATGCTGATCTGGATTCACTAATACAAGATACCATTCGATTGGCCACTTCAGTCATAGTAATTAATTAAGGACAAACCATTTTTTTATATATTTAATATCACATTCTAACATTATATTTTCTTTTTACACAATAAATAAATAAATAAAATCCTTAAAATTTTGTCTCCTATTTGCAGGAGACCTGCTCGGAATCTTGCGAGAAGTCTGAACCTAAAATGCACCGTAAGTATTATCTTATATAAAAGTAATAAACGCTATGGCAACTTAAGAAATGTAATGGCATTTTCGTAAATCGGAGAAAAATACTAGTTACGGGTCACCCTAATAAGAAAAATATTTTGTGTAAATCAGTCGAACAATTATGATTTTATTTTTATTTATATAACTAATGGTTGACTAAGTTAATGCATTGCCAGATTTAGGTGCAAGGAATACAGCCTCCATCGAGAAAAGGTGGTCGAAACTTTTGGAGCTAAAGAAGAAACACGACTTTACAGAAACGTGAAACTCGAGACCAAAAAAAGTGGCATCGAGTCTTCTACGAAATTGATTAAAAGAACAAATGTTGGAAACAGAAAAAAAGAAAATAGTTCTTGTTTACTAGTCTAGATAACATGTATGGGAAAAATACAGTTTTTGTCCCTCAAGATTGCACCAATTATACATTTGGTCCCTCATGTTTACAAAAAATACATTTAGTCTCTTATATTTAAAAGATTCAACATTTTTAGTTCATTTGGTCAGTTTCCCGTTAAAACTATCGGAATCAAGCGTGTTCCCATCACTGTGTTAACTAACGGAGTAACGGTAAATTGACGGAAATGACAAAAAATGTAAAATTATTGGAACATGAGGGAAGAAATGCATTTTTTGGGAACATGGAGGACCAAATGTGAAATTAGTGCAAACTTGAGGGGTGAAAACTGTAATTTCCCCTATCATGTATCAACAATAATCAACATGTGTTAGAAATAGGAAAATATACAGTTTTCATCCCTCAAGTTTGCATAAATTTCTCATTTGGTCCCTCTTGTCCACAAAAAATATATTTCGTCTCTCGTGTTTTAAAAATACAACATTTTAGTCATTTCCGTCAATTTTCCACTAAACCTAACGGAATCAAGCATGTGTCCATCAATGCCTTGACTGACGGACTAACGTTGAATTAACGGATATGACCAAAAACATTAAATTATTAAAACATTAAATTATTAAAACATAAATGATCAAATATGTTTTTTATAAACATGGATGACCAAATATGAAATCAATGCAAACTTGAGGGATGAAAACTAAAATTTTCCCGTTAGAAATATATAAATATGACAACGTCATACTCTTATTTCTCTCTTCTCTCTTTTCAATTCTCATACATATCTTACTAATTATTCACAAATCTTTCATCTTTTTAAAAAATATCCAGGTGCAATGGCAAATTGCTCCTTGTACTTACTACATTCGGAGTTAAAATTGGATTTTGAATGAATTTACTTGAAAATTTGGAAAATGATTTTATTATTGAAATTTCATATATATGAGCAAAATTAAATTATTAAGGATACATTACAACCATTCATGAAATATGGTCAAATTACGAAAAAATTTCTCTTGTTTGGATAATTAAAAAATACCCCTCAACTATGAATCTTCTTACACCTCCACCCTTATGGTGTCAAATTTAACATAAACATCTAAATTCCATGGAATGTGCTCTAGTTTGCACTCATTTTGTGTAAAAATACAGTTTATGATGCACCATAATCTGATATATACAAGCCAAAAAACACATCTTATGATCATCTTGCTTCAAAATGAGGGGCTCAAATGTGATAAAATGGGTACAAAAGTCATAATATTCCATATAATCAAGACGATTCCACTAAAATTGAAACCGCAAGGGTGGACGTGTAAGAAAATTCATAGTTGATGGGTTGTTGTAATTACCCAAACATGAGGGGTATTTTCATAATTTTACCATACCTCATGGGTTGGTTGTAATTTACTCAATTATTAATAAACATAAAAAGGGTAGCAAACCAAAGTGTGCGCCAGGCTGGCCATAGCAAATATTTTGCATGGACAAAACTACCCTTTCTTTTACTTTTTTATTATTAGAAAAAGGTTTAACTTTACGAAATGAATAAAATAAATAAAATATTAATATCCCGATCCTCTCCTCCGCCTTCCTCCGAGCGTGACGAAGCTCCTCCGCGGGGAAACTCTGAACCGCCGGTCACTTCCTGAAAATTTCTCTCCCGCCGCCGATTTCTGGTCACGTATCTTCCGATTAACCCTCCGGAATCCCGTTTCTGTACATATGAACGACAATGCACAAATATAACGGTGAGGTAGAATTATCCGACAATTAGGGTTTCGTGGTCGTAGGGAACACGCGGAGATGGCTCGCCAAATGACGACTTCCGCCTTCCACAAATCAAAAACCCTCGACAACAAATACGTACGCATTTCTAAAATTATCTCCCTGAGTTTTTATTTTATTTTTTACTTTAATTGATTTTATTTTTTTTGATGAAAAATAATAATATTGATTGCAGATGCTTGGAGATGAAATTGGGAAGGGGGCTTATGGAAGAGTGTACAAGGGCTTGGATTTGGAGAATGGAGATTTTGTTGCAATCAAGCAAGTCTCTCTAGAGAACATTGCCCAAGAGGATCTCAACACTATTATGGTCTGATTTTCATTAGTTAATGTGACTGATACTTAGTCTTCTTTCTATTGTTTGCTTGTGATTTCCTGAATTCCGACTCACCACTTGTTTTTTTTCTTCCTTGCATGACATCGATCATTCTCTGCTTATGGGAATATAACAGCAAGAGATCGATTTGCTAAAGGTAAATTTGGCGTGTTATATTTACCGGTACTGTAAAGTAAATATATCCGAAGAAATTAGTATAAAGTGTTAGCTGCGATAATGTTGGGTCTGTTTGATGTGTATATTAGGTAAATTTTGTAATTAGTGCTAAATAAAAAGGTTGATCTCAAAATAACATCGTTCTTGTGGCTCAAACCCTTGATCACAAATAACAGAGTTTATGTGGGTCAAAAGTGTGTTCTTTTTAGGATTTATGAATGTCAATCTCATGATTGTTCAAGATTTAATGCATGAAAAAAAATAATGACCACATCTTTTCCATATTGTTGTTATGTTGGTATCACATTATGCTGTAGGATTTCAACTTTCTACTTTGGTCTTCATGCTGCAACATTTTAAAATGAGACTGCATTACTGTGAAATTGGTTTCTGCTTTTATTCTTATTGATATGTGGCCTATCTCTTGCAGAATTTGAATCATAAGAACATTGTGAAATATCTTGGATCTTTGAAGACGAAAACTCATCTTCACATTATTCTTGAGTAAGTAAAGATTTTAACTACTTCCCTATTTTTTCAACTTACCTGGAAATTATTCTCATAATCCATTTTCCCCCTTTTTTGAAGGTATGTTGAGAATGGTTCACTTGCAAATATTATTAAACCAAATAAGTTTGGACCTTTCCCAGAGTCTTTGGTGGCTGTCTATATAGCCCAGGTTGTTATAAGTTCTGACATTTTATCAGTTAGTTTCTGTTCATTTTGGTTATAAATATCTAGTACTATGCTGTAATCAGGTATTGGAAGGTTTAGTATATTTACATGAACAAGGTGTAATTCATCGAGATATCAAGGGGGCAAATATTTTGACAACAAAAGAGGTATACCAAAAATTGTCAGGCTGCTTTCTGATTATTTTGCCAATGTCATTGTATTCTAGTTGCCTGGTTCCCTTTTATTGCTGTAATTTGTTTTAGAGAGAGTAGTTTTTTTAATGCGAATAGAATGGCAATATAATGTGATTGCGGATTGCATGGACTCATATTTTATGGCGTTTTTTGCTTGAACAAGTTCTCATGATATTTGTATGGGAATGCATCAAAATGTGTTTTCTTGATCGTTTTATGTAAAGAAGATACATACTTGCTGAACCAGTAGTCCCTTCATCTAACTTAAACTTTCAGGGTCTCGTCAAACTTGCAGATTTCGGGGTTGCCACAAAACTTACTGAAGCAGATGTTAACACACATTCTGTTGTTGGAACGCCTTACTGGATGGCGCCTGAGGTATTGCTCTTAATATTAGTATTTAGGGTCGATTTTCTTTTTCCATTTTGTGTGAAGTTCAAATTTCTTAGTCTTACATGTATTTGTTGATATCACATGACTCAAAACAACAACTTGGTTGGGGAGTGTGTCTTAATAGTAAGGTTACCAGACATTATTGGATAACAATAGTTGTTGGCATTAGGATTATGTCAGTTTGAGTGCTAAGTCTGCATAGGAGGCTTAGTATCTGCAGTCCTAAAAAACATACATTGTATTTTTTATCAGGCTTAGGAGCTTAGGCTATGTCAGAAGTGAGTAATTGTAATATGATGTGTGCAAGTAGAATTTTCCCAATGGGGGCAGAAAGTGGGAATTTCATCATCTCTCAACGGTGGAAAATGCGTATCCATGGGTTGATGCCCTGGGATCGAACGAAATGTGCTGAACGAATTATTTTCCCATCTCAAATCTAATAAGTTTAACAGATGAAGGATGAGGTAGTGATGTACTTTCAGTTGTGAACTCGATTGATGAATTAAATTTTTTGAGCTCAGTTGGTGAATACGTTTTTTGTGGTTATTACACTTAACTTTGGTTTACGATTTTCTTTCTGTATGTTTCCACCTCTTATTGTGTTTTTCGTTAATGTTCTAGCATAGCTTGTGTAGTCTCTGTTGAGCAAGTTTGTGAGCGAGATTATAAATCTTTTCCGTCCTTTTAGAATGTTGCTATACTTCTTTGATGAAGTTTATTCGTTTGTCCCCATAGTGCCCTTAGATTGAGGTATAGAGATGTTGCAATACTTCTTATTTATAGAGTGAACGAGAAAGGACTGGAAGCGAGGAGTAGGATTGGATGAAAAAAAAATCTTACACAGGAAATAAACTTGAAGAAAAAATGACAAGTACTTGAAGCTGACTATAACATAATATTTTTTCTGTATTAGCGAAGTGCCTGAACCCTTCTATTATCTGTTCAATTCCGTCTTCTTTTGATGAATGCCAATGGAAAGAAATGCAGTTTCCCATGATGGAAAATACGTACTGTTGGGATTGCTTGGCTATTGATTATGCCTTTTTTTCTAAGTGTTATTTAGATCTTCTCCTTTGCTTATAAAAAGTACAGTAGTCCTCTCCTGATGCTCTCATGAAGCTTTATTTTTGTAATCATGGAAGTGAGCCTTATTTTTGTTTTTGTTGGGGAAGGGCAAATTGGTGGATATATAAAAAGGGGAACAGAGAGAGGATTACATCCCTTTAATGGAAGAACATAACTATACAATCTTTACAGAGGGAAAATGAATTGAGCATGTCATAGAGAGTATAGTAGTGGATACTATGATGCAAATCTGCTTATTTTTTTGGTATCAGAAAAAGGATCTGTTAGGTTCTTTCGTTTATTCATTTATCAAGATACCATTCCATTACTTAATATTAGCTCTTTTGGGCCAGTAACTAATAGTCTAATGCTCCTTTGCATTTCCTTGTTACTCCTACATTCTTACTTCTTTTTTATTGTCAAACATGAAACTTTTATGTGATGCTCACCGTTTACTCCTGAGTCCTGAGCTGTGGCATCATAAATTACATTTTTTGCCTTGTTGTACAATTGCAGGTCATTGAAATGTCAGGAGTTTGTGCCGCATCTGATATTTGGAGTGTTGGCTGCACCGTGATTGAACTTCTCACATGTGTTCCACCATATTATGACCTGCAGCCCATGCCTGCCCTGTTTAGGATTGTACAGGTAGAAATAAGGTCTGCGTTATCATACTTTTCATCATCATTATTCCTATCAAATGCATTTTTAGTGGGTAGCTGATAACTGAAAGTGGATATTGAAACATTAGTACTAGGCACATATAGTGAATCTGGTAGCAGTAGTCTTACTATTGCCTTTTTGAACTTGTCACTTCATTGCTTCTTATCCAGGATGAGCATCCTCCAATTCCAGATAGTCTATCTCCATCCATTACTGATTTCCTGCGCCAGTGTTTTAAGAAGGTCAGCTGGAAAATTAGGAGTGATATATTTTTTCTTGCTTGACCTTTTTTTTTTGGTTTTTGTTGGACATGTCATCTTCTTTTTTCTTTAAATCAGATAGTGATCTATGGGGTTGTTTATTTCCCTTTGAACCTTTTAGTTTGCTCTTTGACAGTCCAGTTTGCCTTTGCAGGATGCTAGACAGAGGCCCGATGCTAAAACTTTACTTTCACACCCCTGGATTCAAAACTCAAGACGTGCTCTGCAGACTTCTCTACGTCATAGTGGAACACTAAAGTATATTCTACTGATCCTCTCTCTATCTCTCTGTGTCTCTTCTGGCTATTGTCTCTCTTTCTTACAATGTCTGCCAAGTTTAACGCATTTTTCCACCTGTTGAGATTGGTTGATCTGTGCTAAATTGTATTTTTTCTCTTCGTTTGGCGATCCATCGCTTCTGTTATCATGGAATGACGACCTTAAGGCCTAATAGTTCGTGTTAAGACATATTAGGTTATGTACCGGGGCTTCATGATGTATTTATGACATATTCTGATGTATTAGTGCTGAGTTTCTAATACATTGGAGAAAAGGTCTGCTGTTTGTCTTGTTTAAATAGTCTGCTTCCCTGCCCGATTTGATAGAATTGATATTCTTGTGAATGTTGCATCCAAGTGTCGATGGCTCAATGGAAGAAACACAACTCTGTATTTGTTCTGCGTTCATCAATGCACATGGGGTTATTTTATAGGCAATGCTTCTTTTATTTTTCTTTTGTGGTGCCATTGGAGTATTTGACTAGTTAGATTTATGATAAACAATCTTTGAGTATATGGATTCTCATCATTTTGCAGAAATATTGAGGAAGATGGACCCGGGAATGCTGAATTAAGTCGCGGAAAACTGCATAATGTGGAAACATCTTCCACTGAGAAAGTAAAGTAATTGTTTTTCGGAACTTTCATGTTCTTAACCATGCTTTGCTGTTATGACTTCATAACATTTTCCTGGGTTTTTTTTTTCTTTTCTTTTTGGATCATAACATTTTCCTGATTTTCTTGGGAACTTGTTCCGGGTTTCAGGAAGGTAAGCTGGAGGCCCTTTCTTCAGGGGTCACCAAGTCGTTTGAGGATGATAGTTCCAATCTGACCGAGGGAAGGTCAGATAACCTAGAGGCAGATGTTATTTCAGATCGAGATCCAACATATGAAAAGTCACCTATGCAAGTATTAGATAGTCATGAGGCGTCAATTTCTAATTCCACGGAGAACTTTAGTCAGCAGGACGAAGTGATATTAAATGATGTCGAACCTGATGAATCTAACAAAAAGAATGTTATGTCTAGAAAAGTTGAGAAAAAGGGAAGCACTGTTTCTACTGACCATAGTAAATTTAGTTTTGGTCAAAAGAGCCAAGATAGTAGCTCACAAAAGGTAACTTTTACTATTTAGCTTATTTATCTTAATATTAATACACATGGGATGTTTAGATGCTTGTTTAAATAGTGCAAGCTCATATCAATTATCATAGATTACACTGTAGCTTTGAATTTAAGAAGTTCGAGACAAGTTTTAGGTGTATATTATGCTTTCTAGAAGAATTTAACTGTGTCAAGATTATCAAACTACTCCAATTTAGTATGCACATAAATCTCTCTTCCTCTCCCCCCTCTCCCACCCACACACAACCATAAGTCTCTGAAGTGATAGATTAACATGAGAAAATTTTACACATTCCTTCTTATATTACCATTCCAGTACTTCCATTAATATCAAGTTTGCGAAATTTACAAGTTCAAGGAACAAATTGTCTGTCTCCTGTCCTGAATATTAAGATAAGACTGTGTTTGTTTGGATTTTGAATGCAGAGTAAATTATTTACATGCAATAGTTTCTAACCATCAAACTTTTTGACTAGCCCAGAACACTGACAATTATGTGATGTATTTATGTAGTTAGTAAGTAGCAATCGGTAGTGCAGTAATTGGTGGTAAGGGTTATTTCTCTCAACCATGTCAGCTTGCTTAAATTGAAATTTGATTAATATTTAGTCTAACTTGTTTATATTTCTCCAGTGTTTGTATTTCAATTGACATGTTATACCATCATGCATATCAGTGTTGATGAATTTTTGTTTGCCATCTATGTAGTCTTTGAAGGAATCAATGAACTCCGGTGGAAATGAGCTTAGTAGATTCAGTGACCCCCCAGGTGATGCTAATTTGGACGATTTATTTCATCCTTTGGAGAACTTGGAGGACCGAGTAACTGAAGCCTCTACCTCTGCATCCTCTTCACATTTGATCCGGGACAATGCAATCCCTGACAGTGGAAAAAATGATCTAGCTACAAAATTAAGGGCCACAATTGCTCAGAAACAAATGGAGAATGAATCAGCACAGGCAAATGGTGACCTACTTCGTCTAATGATGGGTGTTTTGAAGGAAGATGTAATTGATATTGATACCCTGGTAAGCTTGACAACATAAAATCAATTGCTTACTTAATAAATGCCTCTAATATTTGTTTTATGCTTTGCTTGCTGATCAGGGATTTGAAGATAAATTGCCTGCAGAAAATCTTTTTCACCTTCAGGTAACTTCATACTTGTATGCACTTGCAGGATTGTTTTTTTATGTTGTCAATTATGGCTTCTCTTTTTACTTAAGTTATCACCCAACAAACTTTTAAAACTTACCCCAGAATAGTTCCACTTGTATGTTCCTCGAAAATTCTTTTTGGTTGATTACATCTCACTTCTCTACAAGGGAAGGGAACTAAGTTTGATCAACACTAATTTTAATATGAACGAAACTCTTAAACTCGTAGGTTGCCTTTTATTTTTTTGAGATAACTGGCGAGTATTTCACATGAGGATTTACGATTTTGAGATACTTACCCATAACACTTGAAGAAACTTATCTGATATTTCTGAAGTGCCACGTTCGGTGGGATAAGCAAAGACTACTGGTAGTTACTCTGCCAATCAACTAAACCACTTTTTTAAATTGTTTTTATGATTCTTGGAGTCATTAAGGCTATTGCCCTGATGATTTCACGCTAAGAGATTAATAATTTGATCCAGTGTAATGGATATGGAGTAATATCTATTTGTTCAGATGGAATTTAGTTTATTCATCAGATTCTGAGTTTGTGGTGCCTATTCATATTCTGTTTTTAGTAATTATGTTTTTTAAGTATAAAAAGAAGCAAATCCCTGTTTTAAAACAGTTTGGTTTATGTGCCACAGGCGGTAGAATTTAGCAAATTAGTTTC